TGCTGGCTGATTCTAACAGAGCATCTGGATTGTCAGACAGGTTCACATATTCCAGTTCTGGGAATCCGAAATACCTTCACATCAACGGAGTGAAGGCAGAAGATGAGGCAGTGTACTACTGTGCCTGTGTTGGCTGTAGCTCAGCCACAGTGAGACACTTCACTGAGACACTCATACAAAAACCCAAAGGGGAACCTAACTTGGGGTCGGCCTCACAGTGAAACCTTGTCACCAAGCACAGGTCCAGTACAGCTGGAAATGGATCAGACACATCACCTCCACTGGATTAACACAATTCCAAGAGCTTATTGGGGGACTATCTAGATTTTTTTCTTCACCGCTCATCCATGGATATGCAACAAGGTGGGATTTTGTGTGGCTGTAAGTCACTGTAAGTCACCAGATTTGGGGAAGGAACAAAACTCTGTGTCCTGAGTAAGTACATAAGGAACACACCCAAGCACCCTGAACAGAAATACTGCAACAGTACTCTATTTATTATCAATATATAATGAGCACAATTAATACAAAAACGCCATATATATCTTCCTGAGATTCACTGTCCTGTATATTGGACACTATATTTTTGTTCATGTCTCTCATACTATATGTCACTCCTTTAATTCCTGTTGTTCAATCCTCAAGGACCCCTCCCACCCCAATAACTCTCTGTTTTCAGGCAAACGCTTCTGCAGCCTTATGACCAGAACTGAATGGTTCCCCCAGATCATAAGGCTCATAAACCAGGACAATACTCAATGCCTCTAGGTATTGCTTCACAATGTCCCAAATTGTTGGCACATTCCTCAGGCCTCTTGCACATTGCACTTATATTGCACAGCAAAATAGTTCTTACCTATCATTTATGTATAGAATATGTACAGCTGAAAATTTCATATATTATTTTATCTTATATTATTACTTTTCCTTATTTTTTCTCTATATTTTGTTATCATGCACAGCTGAGTGACCAGGTTTACATTCCACTACATGTGTACAACTGTGTACGTGATGAATAAATGCCTTAAATCTTGAAATTGAATCTTGAATCTTGTTCCTTAAAGTGGACAATTATGGGTTTAAGATGACATCACATGTGTGGGGATGTACTTTGGACCATCCCAACACTTAAATTGAGTACAAAAAAATCTAAATTATTAAGCTTTTTTCCCACTGAATCTCTGGAAGATATAGTCTTAGTATCTGGGGAATTCTACAATTTGGCAAATACAAGAAAAAAATTGTAGTGATATGTAACATTACAAAAATAACCTGGGGTTAAATAACACAGCATGCCTCCATATGTATGTATATGTTACAAAGTTAAAAATGCCTTTACTGTGTTCAGTATCTTGAAACACTGACAGTGCTGATCCACTGAGCGAAGCTGTACACGGCTGATGGTTTTTGTTAGGCTCTGTATCACTGTGTCAGACTCCGGCTTTGGTGGGGGCACAATGCTGAATGTTGGTAAGTTAAATATCTCACATCAGAAGCAGTAGCAGGGGCCATAAGGGATCACTTTTCTACTCAGTATCAATGCATTGTGCAATATATTTGTACTACTTGTTTCTATTCTTCTTTTAACAC